CTCCTTTGCAGCGGATTTAACCTTTGGAGCCTTCATTTTGATTGATTCCCTGTAATGCGCGTTAGAAGATACAGGGAGCCAGAATCAGGGACACACTCACCACTTGATGTTTTTTAGAAAGACACGAGATATATCCCACGTAAAGAGTAACCCTCAGTATGTATGTAACAGAGACCACAGAGTAATAAGTGCCACAGAGCCAACTAGGAACTGATTCTCAAAAGCCCACAGAAACTAAGAGCCCACAGAATATTGATCTCACAGATAACCCACAAGCCAACGAGACGGACACTCTTTCGAATGATCCGATCTATGTCAATGCAGATATAAGCAATCAAAATCCCACAGATGTCAAGATCTCAATGCCTCAGCCCACAAGCGAACAGTAAAGCCCTCTAGTAAGAAAATCTCACGCGACAAGCCCACAGAAGCCCACAGGAAATACAACGAGTTACAGTAAGAGTTCTATACAGAACGTATAGCGCTCTTGCTAGCGACTCGGAATCTGGGAGTCTTTTTAAGAGAACGAAAATTGATGAAGTGTTGATGGATGAGGTTGAAATTCTGTGAAGTTTGAAAGCAAAAAAAGTTGAATTTATTGATGAAGCTTTTTTTTTCTGCTTGAGCTTTTTTCTGCCGGTTGAAATTTCATACTCACCGCCTTTACTTAGCTCTCCGCTCGCTAGTCCAAAAAAGGACTAGCTTAGATTCGGGGCTCGTCTGTTAGCTTAGTCAGCTCGTAACTCCCTAAAAATCCGAATTAGGAAGCTTGCGACGTTTGCAAGTTGTTTGTATGGAGAATCGCAAGTATCAAACAACATAACTAGACCTGTTGACAAGCCGATGATTTGATCTGTACAATCCAGTCCTCTCTGTGTTTGCTGTGCTGTTTACCTTGATGGACGGACCTTGCTACTGATACAATGGCACCTCTTACGCTTTCGCCTCGCAGGCCTCGAAAGAAACGCCGAGCTTTGTCGGGATCTGGGCTCACCACTGACCTGGTAGTGTCCAAGGGCCAAGATACCTATGCGCCGGCTTTCCCCTTGGTGTCTTTCTTCTGGCCTGCGCGGTCCGGTGTATCTCAATGGCTTATTCTGCCCGTCGTTTTGATGATTGTTGGCCTCTTCCGATGGGGAACTTCGTTGTGGGGTCACTCAGGTATGTGTTTTGTATGTATCTATGTGTTCACACATACACCCATACTGATATATCTGGTATAGGGTATGGTGTACCTCCAATGCATGGCGACTTTGAAGCCCAGAGGCACTGGATGGAACTCACAATACACCTCCCCACTTCTTGGTGGTATTTCTATGATCTGCAATACTGGGGATTGGATTACCCCCCATTGACAGCCTACCACAGCTGGCTACTAGGAAAGATGTATGTTCCAAACACCACTACTACATCACAGCATGGTAGAGCCAGAGTCTAACAGAATATAGAGGCCAACTAGTCGATCCAACATGGTTTGCATTGGATGAATCTCGTGGTCTAGAAGGGCCACTGTTGAGGGTTTATATGAGAGCCACAGTTGTTGTCTCCGAGTACCTAGTTTATATCCCAGCTGTCGTCATCTTTCTGCGAAGATATGCTCGTGAGCAAGGCGTTGGACCATGGCCAGGCTCCATTGCTCTCTGTGCGGTACTTATGCAGCCGTCTACAATTCTTATCGACCATGGGCATTTCCAGTACAACACTGTGATGCTTGG